GGCTCTCCCAAGCGCTCGGGGCAGCCCGGCTGGCGGCACGCCTCGGGGCCGGCCGCGCGGCGCCGGGCAGGGCGGCCCCGGACCAGGGGACGGCCCTCTCGCGCCGAGGCGCCCGCCCCCGGCCTCCTCCCGCCGGAGCGGGGCGGCAGGTTGTCGGCGCGCCTCCGGCCGTCCGGCCGCCACCTTTGCGCTCCGTTTTGGTCGGCTTTCCGCTTTTCTGTCGTCCGCTAAAGCCGCGCGCGGCCCCTCGCGCGTTCCCAGATCCGCGGGACGGAGCGGCGCCGCAAGCGCCCCGCGCCCCCCTCGGCCCCGCGCCGCTCCGCCCCATCCCCCCCCCCCCAACCTCGCCGAGCGGGATCCCGCGCGCGGGCCCTCGCGCCCCCCGCCCCCGCTCCCCATTGGCGGAGGGCCGCGCGCGCCCCCCCCCGTCGGCCGGGCGGTCGGGGCCGCTGGGAGGGGGCGGCCGACGGGGGCGCGCGCCGCGGGCGGGAGCGAGCCGCGGGGGGTCTCACCTTGGCGCTCAGCTCCGCCGGCGCCTCCTCGACGCGTTTCTCCGACATCCCGTCAGGGGCAGCGCTGGGGCCGCTCGCGAACGTCGGGGACCCCCGAGGAGAGAGGGCGCTGGGAGGGGGGGAGGGTGGCACGCGGCGGGAGCTCCGAGTCCCAGCGGTCCGGCAGCGCGGCTCCCGCCCCGGGGCCAAAGTGCCTAGGTCTGCCGCGATGGGGGATACGGCGGCGGAGGGGATTTATACCGCGCCGGCTGACGAGGGAAGGAGGGACCTGGCGAAGGGAGGGGAGAGGGCGGAGGAGGGAGGGAGGGAGGGAGGCGGAGGGCGGCCGTCGGCGGAGCGGGCCTTGAGAACAATGTACGGTCGGCACGGACGGCGGACCGCCCGCCTGCCGTCAGACGCCGGCCCCGCACGGCGTCCCGCCGCCGCTCGGCGGGGCGACGGCGCCGCGGTGCCTCTCGGCCGGGCCGGCCCGCCCCGCGCTCGCAGAGGGCCCCGAGGTGCGAGGGAGGAGCCGCCCCGGCACCGCGCCGCCCGCACGCCTCGCCCGGGCAACGGGCGGGCCGAGGCGCGCCGCTCCTCGCGCCGCGGGAATCGCCCGGGAACGAGCGGCCGGCGCGGGCTCGGCGGGAGGTGCTGCGGGGACGCGCGGCGGGGCGGCCGAGCAGCCTGGCGACGGGCTGGCTCGTGCCGCTCCCGCCTGGAATTTTCCACTCGGCTGCCGCCCTCCCCCTGGAAGCGCTGCCAGGCGGGGCTCCTCCCCGCGGCCGCGTCCTGCCGGGCCGGGGCCCCGCGCGGACCCGCGGTGGGGGCGGGGCGGGCAGGAGGCTGTTTTTCCCGCGCTCTGCGGCGGAGGCAGGGGGCGGGGCGGGGCGGGGCCGCTCGCCGGGTCGAAGCGGGTGGGGGAGGGGCGGCTAGCGCATCCCGCTTCCCCATATAAGGAGGAACCGAGGGTGGGCGTCCGATTGGGCCATTCAAATGAGCAGTTTGCCTGGCAACAGGCTTCCTATTGGTCGTCGGGGGGAGGATTCGCGTGGGGGAGGGGGCGCGGGGACCGTTGCCGCGAGGAGCAGGGGAGGGCACGTGGGGATGCGGGCGCGGCGCGAGGACGGGGCGCCGTGCTCGTCCCTCAGCCCGTCCCAGCCCTCCCTCACGGCTGCCTTCCCACCCACGGCGGGTTGGACGACGGGTGGCATTCGGGGGAGGTACGGGTCCCCTGCGAGTCGTCGGCGCCTAAATCCGAGCTCCGCGCTGCAGGAGGCTCGTCCGCGGCCGTACGGCAGCGACCGCGGCGGAGTACGAAGCCCCGCGCCCCCCGCGGGGCTCTGCGGCTGCTCCCTGGGCGGCCCGGCCCCCTCGCTGCCCGCCGCTCTGAGCCCGCCGGCCGGGCGCTGCCGCGGGGCTGACGACAGTGCCGCCGTCTGCGTTGCTCGGTTATTGAGGGCGGCGGGAGGCGTGCAGCGGCGCCACCTGCCGGCCCGCTTGGGCGATGCCGTGCCGGCAGAAAGGGGCCCCGGCTCCAGGACCGGGCGCGGCGGGGGCTGGGGGCGGGGACGGCCCTTGGGAAGGGAAGGGTGAGGCGGGAGAGGAAAGGACGGCCCAGCCGCGCTGATGCAGATCTCGTTTAGAGCGAGTCTTTTCAGCAGGGCTGTGGGTTGTGTGTCGTGTCTGCAGGAATTTGTGGCTGAGGAAATTGGTGCATAGCAAATAGCCGTACTTTGTGCTCGTGTTGATCGGCTTGAACGGTGAAGGCGTGAGTGCCTGCGTACATAGCCATCAGCGTGGCCTTAGCTACGAGGCACGTTCACTAATCCTGCCGCCTGGGAAAAGCAGTTAGAATCATAGGGCCACAGAACATCCTCAGTTGGAAGAATCCTCCAAGGATCCTTGAGCCCAACTCCTGGCCCCATGCTGGACCCTTCATAACTCAAACACTATATCCAAACACTTCTTAAATGCCAGCAGCTTGAGGTGGTGCCTGCTGCCCCGCGTGCCCTTCCAGTGAGGCACGTGAACCCTTCAAACTTAGTACAACTCAGTACTATGTCTGAGCCTAGAACTGGTGATCTGAGCTTCCCTGGTGTAGGGAACCTGCTTTGGCAGGGGGGTTGGACTCGATGATCTCTGGAGGTCCCTTCCAACCCCTACAATTCTGTGATTCTGTGATCAGATGTGCTTGATAGAAAAGGAGGTTGGTACATAGGGAGAGTAATAAGTACACATCTCCTAAAGTAGGAAGGATAAAAGACCACATGGGTGAGACAGATTCAGGATCCCTGCCTTGTTGTCTGTTGTCTCCTCCACAGCTACAGCAGCTTCCCCTCAGATAATGTGACTAAGCTGTGTTCTTCTTAGCTGTATACAGGAGGTGCTGCCTGCCCCAAGGAAATTGTACTTAACTCAGACATGCAGATCCAGTCTAATAGAGGGAGAACACATCATGAAAATGCATGCATTGTTTTTCCTCCTGCTTTATAAGCCCCTCTAGCCATCTTTTCAGGTCTACGTGCTGTCAGAATTTGAGCCCTGGCATTTGGTTCCACTTTCATCCCTCTTTTCGGCAAGAAACAGTAAATCTTCATTTCTGGAGCTGCATTCAAAAATAGGAGGAAAAAAAAAATGAAGTTGATGGCTGGATGTTGTCATATTCTGCTTCTCCTTGTCACAAATGCATGACTCACAGCTCTGCTGTTCTTTGCACCAATCCAGGATTTTTGTCCTTATCTTTGCATCCTCAACTCCTGCACCATCACGCATCTCGTACCAGAGACACATCCATGCTAATGCACAAGCAGGCCTCAACACAACATCCCAGAGAAGAAAAAATGAAGATTGTATTTGGTGATGATACTGTGCCCAAAGAGTTACGTTGACACAGGCAACACGCCCTCAGATGCAAATACACAGACGGCAGTTTATGGGAGGGAAGTATGTTTCCAGCCACCTGTGAAAGGACCATTTGGTTAGGTCTGTGACCTCTTCCTTCCCCCTGTGTATTCTCCAGTACTCAGTGTGCAGTCTTGTTTCTTCCTATTCAGACTCCCCACCATATTCTCTTTGCAGTTTTTACTCAGATTGATTCTGATCTTTTGCTACATATCTGTATTCTTTGTCAGTGCTGTTCCCATGGCCATTGCTCTCATGTTGTCTCTGTTTTCCTTTCTTGTACGTACAGAATTCAGCTCATGTCCCCTTCGTTCTTCATGTCCCATTTTTCCCTGCATGCCTGTACGTTTTTTCCCTCATATCCTATGTGAAACTCCTCTTCGTGCCTGGGGACATCCCTGTTTCTGTATCCTATCTGCTCCTCGGATCCTGATAGTGGGATTTCAATGGCTTCTAGCATGCAATTCCTTCACTTAGGCCCTGTGGGTATCCTTTCATTGACTCCTGAAAGTATTTCTCAGGCCTTCTGTTCTTCCATCACATTGGTACCTCTCTGCATTTTGTCTACTGGATCAATTTACTTTTCTCTGCTCCTCTCTCCCATCTTTTTGGTATATGCAACTATACTCATCACGCAATGTGCAGATGTAAATCACTTTTCAGTATGTTCAGCAGTCTTTGCTTCAAGTTGCTTTGCAAACTCAGCAGAATATATTCCATCTTTTTTGGAGCCTTCAGCCTTTAGACAGGATGATGGAGGTACAGAAGTTGCGTGATATGTCACTGAGAACACTGACAATATGCATGTCTGCTGCCTGGGTATGTAATTATCTCTGTTAGTTACCATTTTTGTGTAGCATGCTGTTTGTACTTTGTGTTTTTGTGGGTGTGTACATCTGCAGTACTTACACATTTGTGTACAGTGATGGTGTTTTCTAGCTTTTCATGCATTTACTTTTGTGAAAGTATGGTTTATTTCTACTGATATTAAATTTTAAGTTTTCCAGGATGCATCTTCATAGTGAGTATGTGGCTGTGTATTTGTATGGTATGTATTTTTTATATTTTTAGCACATGCATTTATTAATTTTGTTTTAATACCTTCCTAGTCTTGTCGTAGTACCACTGTAGTCAGGTGGAGGAGTTATTAGTTTATGGTGAAGGCAAAAGTAACTCTGAGCAAAACCAAAACATCATACTTGGGTATGAGGGTATTCTAAGAATGTTATTCTGACAACTAACTCAAAAGTGGTTCCAAAACTCTTCCATGCTACTTGCTGAACAGTAGAAGAGCAGGAGGCCTTGTATTTGCCTCAGCTTTTCTTAAATTTTCAGAAATTCAGATGTAGAGTATCTATCCTTTCTTTTAAGGTGAAACCAGCCAAATCTGGGGGGTGGGGGGGGCATGCAAGTTTATGCATTTAATCCACATTGTTCATTTTTAAATCCTGTGTCCATTAAAAGTCATGCAGATTATTGATTTTGTTTGTCCTCCATGGTGCCATAATCTGAAGTCAAGAGGAAATTGCTAAAAATTCAACCACTGGCCAAACTTTGCATTTGGAAATATGTCTTTGCAAGAAGCAATGCAAATGAGCACTGTTGAGGGCGGGGGAGCAGTGCAGATAGCATAATGAGAGGAAGCAAGAGGAGTAAGAGTGATTAGGGATGAGAGCCAGCCTGCGAGAGAATCAGAAAGGGGAGGAAGGTTTTGAATCACGATTTTTGTGAACTTGTCTTCACTAATGTAGCACAGATGGAGGTCGTGCTTCTCACTCACATTGTGGCAGACTCATTCTTGAGCAAAATATTCTGAAAGTAATCACTGCTAAGCAACGTATACCCCAGTCACTGCAAGCTGGCTCTAGCATTCCAGATATTGTCGCTCCTGAGGATCGAATGAGAGCTGTCCTTCTCTTAGGGTGCCCTTCATGTGAGGTCAGAATTAGTTGCCGGCTGAGGATTACGTAAGAGGCACAGATGAAAGGAACCGAAGCAGAAGTGGCTGTGGGTAGTTCTGACTTCTGATGACGAGAATTTCTTTGTCGCGTGGACATTTCACTGCGACTCCGGAATATTTGGATGTGTTAAGAAGCTGTTTCTGTCTTCTTGGCCACAATGATTGGTCCCTGGAAGAAGCAGGTAAAAGGTCTGATATTCAGCGTACCATTTATTTACCCACACCACGTGATATTCAGTTTGCTTTTAAAATACGCACACTGTGGTCGCCCCTTTGGCTGACTGCGCAGCTAACAGTGATGGGGACGTTAGGGGGGAGGGATGCTGCTTGGCAGCAAGTCAGCAGCAGGCAGCAGAATGTGGAGCTCAGGGCAGCGGCATCACTCCTTGATTCCATTTCGCCCTTTGCTCACCGCCTCCTCTTTGCCCATTCTCCTCTGTCTGGACAGCTTAAAGAAGGAAAGGAAATGAGGCAGTGTGGGTAATGGTTTTGATTCATGACAGAAAACTGGAACAGCTTAAACAGAGAATGTGGCGGAACAAAAATGTGAGTCTTGCTTTGCATCCACATCCCCGTCCTTAGGTATTGTGTGTCAGCAAATGGCCATCCACTTGGTGCGCATTAGATGTAAAGTGGTGTACAGAAACCTCATGTACAAATGGTGTGCAAAAGTGAGACTCTGCATTTCTGACAACAGGGAACTTGTCTCCGTTCTGGAAAAAGGCTGCATTTCCATTTCCCAGGGTTTCACGTGGCTTTAGCCACCAGCGAGCCAGTTACCTAAGTGGTAACACTGCTGGTAACATAGGTTACATAGGTTACAGTATGTGCTCCTGCACCACTGCTTCCCTGCCTCCGTGTCTGGAAGGCAGCAACGACTGACACTGTGTTTGGAAACAACTGAAGGAGCCCTGCTATCTCTGGGGGTGGGATGATTGCTGGGATCTGTGGAAAGCAGGTCATTTTGTCCCAGACTTGCTCCCAGTCCCATAAATAAAAATGCTTTCATTCTTGTCCAAGCAGCTCTCTCTCTCCCTGCCCCCGGATCCTTCCCGGCTGCACACACCCAATCCAGCATGGGATCCGCCCCGCGTTGAAGGAGAACACGCCGAACAGGAAATGCTTTCCAGCCTGGAATACTCTGAAGGGTGACCCAGGATCACAAAACCGGAGGCAGGGAGGCTGAGGCAGCGCTTGCAGAAGCCCCGGGTGAGTTTCCGTGCCCGCAGGTGGGCTCCGACCGACGGCGGGGCGCCTGCGGCCGTTCTCAGCGAGAAGCACCAGAGACGGGGCGGGATGCTCCCACCGCCAGGGGGCGCTCTGCCGGGCCGGTGCCGCTCTGCCCCGAGGAGCGGGGCCGGGGCGCCACTTCCTGCCCGGCCCAGCTCCCCGCCTCCTCCGCTAGCGCACGGAGCCCGGGGCCTGTGCGCGCATGCGCGAGGCGAACCGGCTGGAGCGGAAGGGACGAGCAGGGTGCGGGCCGCCATGGGAGTCCGGGCGTGAGCGGCCCGCGTCTTCTTCGCTCTCCTCTTCCTCCCGCCGTCGTCCCCTCGGCACCGCCCGGCGCGTCTGCACGCAGGGGAAGGGGCACGGCAGGTGGGGGCGAGCCGGGGGGTGGCAGGGAGGGGCCGAGATCCGGGTCTGGGGGCGGCCGCCTTCGCGGCCGGGCGGGGTGCGATGTGCGATGTGCTTGCGGCTCGCTCAGCGCTTCTCCCTCCCTCCGCAGAGCCCGCCCCCGTGGAGGGCAGCAGCATGTTCCGGCTGATGAGGGACGGGGAGCCGGAGGACCCCATGTTCGCTATGTGAGTCGGCTGGGGAGGCTCGAGGGGGAGGGCGGGCCGGGGCGTTGTGGCAGCGCCTGCCCGGCGGGGCTCTGAGTGCGGGGCCGCGTGCGGCGGCGCGGGGCTTCCGCGGGAGCGCGAGCGTTCCTGGAGCGGGGCGGCGTGGCTTTAGAGGACAGTGTAATTAAATAAAGTAGGCCGAGCGCACCGTGACTGTCTGAGGAAAGCAGTGCTGGAGTACCCGAGCTGTATCTGTGCTTAAGGATTTCTGTGTATGGGGAGTAAGGTTTTGTTGATATCTTGTGTGCCTGGTGTTTGTTGCGGCTCTGCTGAAGAATTCGTTAATGAATTGGAAGAAAAGAGGTTGTGGAAGCCCCGTCCCTGAAGGCATCCAAGGCCAGGCTGGATGAGGCTCTGGGCAGTCTGGTCTAGTTGTTGGCAGCCCTGCATATAGCAGGGGGGCTGAAACTAAGTGATGGTTGTGGTCCTTTTCAACCCAGGTCATTCTGTGATTCTAAAGGAGCTGTCAGGTTGTAAGGGAGAGCAAGGAGAATTCTAGTAGTTTTAAAATACAAGTCTGAAAATCTGATGTGGCTCCCAACAACGCTTCTTTGGGGTTCTTCTTACTGATTTTTTTTTTTTTTTTTTCTGTCCCCTGCCCAGAGTTTGGTTGCAGCTGATGAGAAGTGGCAGTTCTTGCCAAAGCAGTTAGGATTAGTGTTATACAGTAGGAGTTTGTGTTAAGCGTGACACTGCTATAAATTTGGTAGAATTAATTGTGTAAGAAAACAAAGCCGTGCTCTTGCTTATAAAATTGATTATAAAAATGTTATCAACTGTAAACAAATTAGCAGGAGAGGAGACCTTGATGTCTCAGTCACAGGATGAGTGTATGTTCTCACTGATGTGGCAGCTATGAGTCTAGCTTTTATTATGCAAAACATTCCCAGTAGAAACAGGAAAGTATTGGTTTGTGCTAGATGCTTTTATGATCTCAGGAAATTATGTGCTGCTCAGGTTGTTTATGCTCTGGAAGGATGAACGCAGAACTACCAGATATGAGAAAAATGCTGTGGTATTTCTCAGACTCCTTAGTGTGGCTGCTGCTTTCTCTGACTGTCCCCATTCTACTTTTTCTCTCCTTGCTTCTCTAGCGTGTACAAGTATGTCCTCGAAGTGGAGGCTGCACAAAAAGGAAAGGAGAAACGTGTAGGGACCCTAATTATTGTTCTCTTTCATTCTCATACTGAGACTTGGACTTGTAAAAGCTTTCTGTGATGTCAGAAAAGATGTTTTGTGGTTGTGCACATCCCAGGAAAACAGCGAATTGAGATGGAACGGGGCAGAGGAGTATCAAACAGTCAGTGTCAGACCATGTGGTGTATTCTGGAGATTTTGGTTACTGTGTTTGTGCATGTGTACCTAAGGAGGTGAGAGAACAACAATTAGGACCACGTACACTCTAGTCCTGTTAAGTGTGGCCCTCTCTTTGCAGCCAAGGCAGTGGTCTTTGTGTGCTTCCCTACAAAATGCAGAACTATTCTTCTAGAACAGTGTGTGTGTTGTGGCTGTTAATGTTTTGATGGCTCAAGAGGAAATGAGTATGACATGAAGGTAGTACTTGGACTGCAGGTCTTTTACCTCTTAGAGCAATGAGGTTTTGGAATACCCTTAGCCATGCCTGGCCCAAAAGTATTAGTGGAAACAGAGCATGGAGCTGTTGCTGAATGGCTATCAGTTAGTGCATAAGAGAGCTTCTGTGGCATAATACTTTCAGTCACAAGAGAAGAAATGGGATCCAGCCCCAAGGATTAGCATACGCAACACTGAGTTCTTGGGGTTCTGGATTTTCAACTTAGAAAGTACAGGCACAGTTGCATAAGAGAAACTCGGAGTCAGAATGGGTGTATTATGCAGGACTTTGTGTTCTGTCATCCTTTTCTCACTGTTGTTCTCTCAATCTTTCCAAAAGGGACCCTTTTGCTATCCACCGGCAGCACATGAACCGCATGCTTTCTGGAAGTTTTGGATTTGGCCCATTGCTTGGTATCACTGATGGAACCACGCCTGGGGCTCGTCAGGCTGGCCGCAGGATGCAGGTAAGAGAGGGCTGACTACAGGCTAAGATTTTTTTCAACTGTCTTGTTAAGCTTCTTTCCCCCACCATTATTGGATTGAGCATTTCCCTCACCTTCTTAGAGACAGTGGAGGTAGAACTGGTTTCAGAAGCAGTTACGTTCTTGCTGTTTCTTCATTCTGCATGTATGCATTTCTTGGCAGCTGTGTTCTAGGTTGAATGGGAGGAAGGGAAGTTGTGTATGTTGTCTGAAAGCCATAAATCACTATAACTGAAGGAAATTGGGGAATATCCCTTCTGTATGGTTTGTTAGTGGTGATACTGTTTGAACCCTCCTGAGTCAGTGAGTTGCTTTTTTCATGTATTTATTGGCTCTGAGTGTTCCAAGTCCTGTTTCCAACAAGGATGAGGGTGCTCTGAGAAGTGTCTGCTGCAAGATCATTGTTTATTCTGTTTTTCTGCTGTATTGACAGGCAGGAGCTGTTTCACCCTTTGGGATGCTGGGCATGGTAAGTCCTCTGTTTTTCAATGCCAAGTTTGAGCTTCCCTAATAGTAGCTTCACCTTGAGATTTGTTAGAGCTGTGGGCAACCAGTAGCCGAAATGTAAGCCCGTATATCTTAACAGGTAATGAGAGTGTGATGGTTTGAAGAGACTAGCATGAGCTCTATTTATTATTAGATTTATAATAAATGGTGAACTGAATTGAAACTGAAGATAACTGGTTTCTCCTGGACTGCTATTCCTGAGTTGCTGTATGATTTTAGACCCTCCACTTCTTTCCCTCATACTTTAATCTAGGCAGTGGAGCTGTTTTACAGGAGTCTTTTTATATGGGCACCTTGAACAGAGAAGATCCATAAAGCTGTTACAGCATGGTATTTCATAGGAATTGGGATAGTTAATATCCAGGAAGAACGGAGAGTCTCTTAACCTTGTGTCTAAGAAGAGGCTGTGGATCTGTTTGGAAATCATTGTGAAACTATGATGACACAAGGAAAAGACTCGGCCATCGTTAGACAGAGGCAGTAATTGAACTTCCTTTGAAAATGGTTGCAGAATGAAGAGCCAGGAGTGTAATTCAAGAGAACAGAATTAGAATGAGAATAGCTAGATGTATGTGGAAATGTCGTTCCTGAAGCTTGTTGATCTCAGTCATCTACTGTAGTAAAACACTGGAAATAAGTTATTCCAGATCTAGCAGCTTTAGCTGCCTTGCTCTGCAGGATTGACTCAATGAAAGAGGTTAGCGTCCTGGAATTGTTCTGGCTCAGAAAAGGATTAATAATACAAACAGTTGGACTTCAAAGGATAATAACATTGCATGTGAGTGCTGGTCTGCTGTAAACGAGAACAAGAAGCCACTTGAAGAGGGGAAAAAGGAATCAGCGCATTTGAACTGACACTAATTTTGTTTACATATTGCACAATTAATCTGTGAGACCTGCTGGCTGAGTATACTTACTGCAGCCCTTAGGTTTGCCAGATTAAAAACAGTCACGTCTCCTTTCTCTATAGGGAAAATAAGAAAAGTTCTTATGTTAGAAAACAATCCGTGAAAACTCCTATGTGGTTTAAATCAAGAGTTGACAGTGATGATGATGACTGTCTTGCGGTTAATTCAACTATTAATGTATATCCTGGGATTTCATGTCTTAACATTGTTGAGTACCTGAATTCACAAACCTTAGTGCATTGGGTATCAGAGCTAAACTAAAAGAACACTATCAGATCCAGAGATCTGGAGAACAAGAACATTTAGGCAATGCAGTCTGGAGAGACTGCAGAGAACAGCAACCTTAAATTTGTTTTGTGTTGTTTTTTTTTTCTATTAATAGATAGAAAGAAAAAAAAATGTTTTTTTTTCCCCTTGGCAGCAGTTTCATGCCCTTCGCAGACACGTTGTTGTAATTCTTTTCTCCCATATCCATCCAAATTGACTATTCCTGTTCTGTCTTTTTTTCTTAGGCAGGTGGCTTCATAGACATGTTTGGCATGATGAATGACATGATTGGGAACATGGTAAGAACCTTCAATAAATTAATTTGCATTAAGGAGGGAAGTACTGATGGTGCTTCTACCATCCTCTCTGTTGTCTGCTGTCCTATTGTGCCTCTCTAGTGCTGGCTGTGATCAAGCTGTTAGGGTTGTGAATCTGTAACATCCTGCTGAGCAGGATGGAGTGACAGAGATGTTGTTCCTGGGGTATGCCTGCTGAATTCAGGGAGGAGAGATGAAATAGAATGGAAGTATGAGAGTAGACCTTCTCTGCAAGAAACAGGAGTTGTTCTCCAGAAAGATGGACTGATGGGGCTTGTACTTGCAGAATCAGTAAATGGTTGAGATTAGAAGGAATCTCTGAATGTCATTGGGTACACAAGCCCTGCTCAAGCAGGGACATCTAGAACAGGGTGCCCAGTCCCACATCCAGGTGGTTTTTGAAGGTCTCTGAGGAGAAGACTCCACAACTCCTTTGGGCAGCCTGTGCTGGTGCTCCATATACTGTGCAGTGCTGGTGCACAATAAATGAGTGCTTCCTGTTGTTCAGAGAGAACGTCCTGTATTCCAGTCTGCTCCTTTGCCTCTGGTCCTGGCACGAGGCACCATTGAGCAGAGCTGGGTTCTATCTTCATTGCACCTCCCTTTGGGCTGAATGCAGCACAGATACTTTTGTAATCCTCTCCTGCTTTGTTGTATGGAGAGAGAAGGGGCTGTTATTTTTTCTTCCCTCTCTTTTCTTCATTATACCACTGCCCGTTTTCTTTTGCAGGAACATATGACAAGTGGTGCAAACTGCCAGACATTTACCTCTTCAACTGTCATCTCTTATTCCAACCTGGGTGATGGGCCCAAAGTCTATCAGGAGACCTCAGAGATGCGTTCAGCACCTGGCGGGGTAAGGAGGAGGCCACAGTGTGTCATCCCAGCAGGAGGCTGCTGGTTTTGCTGGGGAAGAATAGAATTTCATTGGTGGCTCAGTGTTGGCCACCCACAGCATTTTTGCTTTGCAGTCAGTTGTGGATTGAGGAATGTGTCGTGAGTCACTGAACCATGCTGAGCGCCCCTGAGAGGAGATGGGAAGTGCCAGCTGGAGAGGAAGTCTTTTTTCCTTATTATTATGTTCCTTTCGACTGGGACTGGTGGCAAGCACAGCATGACTGAAGTGCTGTAGGCAAGAACCAGAGTGTCTTATTGGGCTGGGCAATGAATTAAAATGTTGATTGTCAAATCTACCCTCAGATTCGTGAGACCAGGCGGACCGTAAGGGACTCAGACAGTGGCTTGGAACAAATGTCTATTGGGCACCACATCAGGGAGAGAGCACACATCATGCAGCGATCCCGGAACCATCGTACAGGTGACCAGGAAGAAAGGCAGGACTACATCAATATGGATGAAAGTGAGTACTCTTCTGTCTTCCATCTCAGCAAACCCAGCTGCAACTTCCCACCTTTTCCCTGGCTGAGCTTGTTCTTCCTGACACAGGTGATGCAGCTGCTTTTGATGATGAGTGGAGGAGAGAGACATCCCGCTTCCGGCCACAGCGAGGGCTGGAATACCGGCGTCACGAAGGCAGCAGCAGCCGCCGGGCTGAAGGGACTCGTCTTGCAATCCAGGGCCCTGAGGATTCTCCCTCCAGACAGTCCCGTCGATATGACTGGTGAATGCAGAGCAGACCTTGTTGGGGGTGCAACATGGTCACCCCCAAATCTACCTACGCATTCTTGTAAGTCTTAACGCGGCTCTTTTTTCATTCTCCATTGCCTGGTTGGCTCTTAACTATATGGATTTTCTTTTCATTACCCCAGTCTTGCATTATTTTGGTTGGAAGAATGTTTTCTCACTTAATGTAAAGAGCAGAGGAAGATGGCAATCTTGAGGAAATACAGAATGGAAAGGTTGAAGCTGTTGAAGTTAGCCGTATCACCAAGAAAAATATGTGATGTCAGCCTTAGGTGATGGTTGAAATGGTATGAGGTGATGTAGGATCACAATCTAATAGTGTTTACACTATCGTTATTTTAGAACTTAGAGACTTTTTACTGCCAGTCCAGTTTGAAATAAAAACAAGTGCTGCTTTCTGGCCTGTGTTTTGAGGGTTCACTTGGATGTGGTCTAGAACTTGAAATTTGGGATTTCTTTTTATTATTATTATTGTTAAACCTTGTCTGTCTTTGCTGCTTTCTAATCACTTTTTGCTCTTTTTATGTTCTCTCTTTATTTCCCTTCCTTCCAGGTACAGACAGTGAAACTCTGAAGCCCCTTCAAAGCACCACTTGGACCCTTCTCAAATTTAGTATTAACCTCCCTGCCACTTAAGAATTGAAATAAAGCAACTAATCTTCTGCATTGCCTTTTTTTTTTTTTCTGCCCCATTTGGGTGCTGCAGTGGTTCGTGGAGAAACTCACTAATGTGCAAGGAACACATTAATCAACCATTCCCTTTCTGCTCTCCTTTGGTTCTGTTCTTTCTGCCAGTAGTGGTGGGCATGAGGAGCTGCCACCTTGCTGCTTCTGTCCTTTCCACTCTTTCTGTGGTGGGTTGGGCTGGTTATGAAGTTTGTGTTTAGTCCCCTATGAAAGAAAGATGAGGGAATCCTGCTAGACCCCCCCTATGTTAGTCCCCTCACAGGGACAAAGGCTTCTATTCCCTTCCTGAATTCTTGGTACAGCTACAGAGTAGCTGAAGGATGTGTTTTAGAGAGGTGAGGAGCAGAACAAAAGCTGGATAGCTTGTGCCCTCCCCTCCCCTACATCTCTTCAGTTGGCTCCCCCACTTTTTTAATTTGTGAAACTTGTAACTAGATGTTTACTGAATAAAGAAACAAACTGTAAAGAATTGTTTGATCAGTTTTTACCTTCTGCTAATCTAATCGTGCCTCCTGTGGAATTAAGTAACTTCTTTTGTATCATTGGGAAATTACTGAAGAGAAACTTGGTATCTAATTGTAACTTTTCTGTAAAGGCTTCTGGTGTAGTTAGGAAGTGAGATAATGCTCAGTGACAACATGGAAATTGTAGAAGGTGACCCAGCAAACCACCGTTTGCAAAAATACCCTTTCATTGCTGTGGTTCCACTGCATGTTTGATGGGGATTGGTTGGTCTTTCTTGCTGCCTGGCCTTCTGTGCAGCCTTGAACAAGGCCTATGGGGCTCCTACATGACTGGGAATATTCCCATTATTTTATTATTTCTTTGCAACTGGTGGCTGACAGTGTTTGATATTGTTATTAATGATCTCTTCTTAACTCTGGTATTAGATGAAGCTGGAAACGCATTAGGAATACAGGATTAAGAAAGGTCTCCTGTGTTTTTGGGCCAGTTTCCTGCTCTGGCATGCATTGCTATACAAACCATTTCATAAATTCACTTGGAACGGAACAAAGGAAATTAGTGCATGACTTACACTTGAAAGTAGTGTGCCAGGATTCTACCATGTATTTCCACGCTGTCCATCTGGGAGCTAATAGGAACAGGGATCTCACTGAGTACTGGTTGTCCTGAAAATCAAATGTGGAATCTGGTGCTTTAAAGCTTTGTGTAGAGTATACATAAATTCTACTCTCCAAGGATGCAAGGAGCAGAGCCTCGGCTTATGGCAGACTCTTTCCCCACTTCCATGGCCTTTTCTGTCCCACGGCAAACCCTAACAGGAGTCTTGTTCTTCAGGTGGCTATTTATAAGGCCTCCACAGCTGGGGTGCAGTTAGAGAAGTCTCCAGCATCCATGGCAGTGATGAGAGGAAACTTGGTTGAGACAGTGAAGTAGGTGTAGGAAGGGCATAAGCTAGCTGCTCCCTGGAAGTGGCTGGAGTTGCTGGAGATATCATAGTCTAGGCAGGCCCTGAAGTGGGCAAGGTCGAAGAAATAACTACACACTGAGGGAGGCTTAGTGGAAGATTTAGTCTTCTTGCGGTTGCCAGACCTTGAGAGAAGGAGCTGAAGCGATAGAGCCCTCATCTCAGCAGTAGTCTCAAGCTTATGCAAGATGTGATAGCTCATACTATGATCCAGGAAAGGACCAACTGGGCTCAGTAAGTTGCTTTTAGCATTGAGACAGTGAACAGCTACAAAGTTCTGGCTGTTCTTTAAGCTGATGTCTGAAGTAGAGAACAGGGAGATGGACGTATTGATGGAAGGAATGACCTTGTCCTTAAAGATGTAAGAATTCTTTTTGGGCATGCAAGCCCTAATCTTGACAAAGAACAGATTGAAGAGAAATGTGACAACTGGGGTGTTATGACTGGTTGCAACAGTGACTCTTCACAAACAGAAACAACACTTGAGCAGTTGTGCCTCTGTACCTGGATTCAGCCTCTGTACCTTGTTAGGTGCCATCCTGCTAATGGATCTTGAATCGTGTGCTTTTGCACTTGGTGGTGAAGGGTGTAAAAAGAGAGTTACCTGGCTTCTTGAACCTTGTTAATGACTGTAGAGTCACTTCCAAGCCTCTGCCTTCTCCAGGTGTGACAAGGCTCTGGCATTCTAGGGAAATGAGGAAAAGGTTCGGTTAGAGGACCTTGTGTTAAAGGAAGCAGAGGACAGGACCCTGGGAAGGAGATGCAGAGATTCTGAATCAAAAAATACATACAGGAAGTACAGGGGGAGGTGTTGTGGTTTAACCTAGCAGGCAGCTCCACACCACGCAGCTGTTTGCTACTCCCAATGAGATGGGGGAAAAAATCAGAAAAAAAGTAAAATTTATGGGTTGAGATAAAAACAGTTTACTAAGGCAGAAAATGAAGGGAAATATATATAAATGTATATATATTAAAAAATCATTTTTAATATATCATATTAAAATCATCATATATATATACAGATATACATATATATATTTACAGAACAAGAGTTCTACAATGCAGTTACTCACCACTCACTGACTGATGCCCAGCCAGTCCCCTGGCCAACTTCCTCCCAGTTTTATTGTTCAGCATGAAGCCACATGGTGTGGAGTATCCCTTTGGCTGGTTTAGGTCAACTGTCCTTTCTATCTGCTCTCAGCTCCTTGTGCACCCCAAGCCCCTTCCTGACAGGGTAGTGTGGGAAGCTGAAATGCCCTTGGCTTTGTGCAGCACTGCTCAGCAACAAATAAGCCATTGGTGTGTTGTCAGCATTGTTTTTCTCCTAAATCCAAATCACAGCATTGTACCAGCCACTGTAAAGAAAATTACCTCAGTTAAAACCAGGACAGGAGGTGCTCTCCTCTACCACTCTGAAGGTTCCTTCCAACCCAATGGTTTGATTTGGAAGGAACCTTTGAAGACCATCTACTTCCAACCTCTCTGCCATGGACAGAGATGCTTCTCACTTGACCAGGCTACCCAAAGCCCCTTCCAACACGGCCTTGAACTGCTTCAAGGATGGGACATCCACAGGCTCTCTGGACAGTGTGTTTTAGTGCATCACCACCCTTATTGTAAAACACTTAATATCTAACTTAATTCTACTCTCTTTTAAGACTATTACCATTTGTCCTGTCACTATGTGATAGTCTCCTCCCCTCTTTCTCATAAGTTCCTTAAGAACTCCCATAAGAACCTTCTCCAGACTGAAGAATCCTGATTCTCTCTAGCTATCTCCACAGGAAAGGTGCTCCAGGCCTCTGGGCATTTTTGTGGCTTTTCTCTGGACCTCTGCTCTAACAGCTCCATGTTTCGTTTGTGCTTTGGGCCTGAGAGCTGAAAGTTGTACTGCAGGTGAGGGTCTTGTGCAGACAGAGCAGAAGGGGATAATTGCCTCCCTCAATACGTTAACATCTGACTTTAGGCAGCAGCAGGTTGCTTCCTGAAGAAGTGAAGAGGATAAATTCCTTTTACTCCCCTAGACCTGGGAGCTGGTTATTCAGCTACTTTGGGTTCTGCTGAAGTTTTTTCAACTGCTCCAGGCTGCCAATGACCTGAGCACAACAGTGTGTTTCAATCAATGTCTTGAGGGACTGTGGAGAACAAAGAATATGAAGGAAGAGGGAAAGGACAGAGCAGTGGGAATAGATTTACTGCCTTTGCTGCATTTTGTTCAGCAAATGCTAGTTGTAGTTTTCATCAGATCCTGGTTTGATGAAAATTTGCTTACTGATTACTGACATAGGTTGTTAATTCAAACAAACAGCGTTCACTGAGGATAATTGTGTTCACAGCCATTTATTTATTCCTGTTCCCATCTTCAGAAAAGCTATGAGAAGCTTGAAGTTGTTTAAAGTAAACAGGTGAAATCTGTGCGCGGAAGGTGCACTGCCAACTGAAATGCCTGAAAACAAGAATACGTGCAGTCAGAAAGCCCACTTCTGGTTAAACCCCTACAACTTCTGCATTTAAATCTCACTGAACTTGATCACTTCCCTATTAATTGGCTTAAAGTGAAAATGACTTCCTGTTTAAAAGTAGTCCACCTTTTGTATCTGGGCATACCAAAGCCCTGGAATGTCTTTTGTTGCTGGGCCTGCTATGATTTTCCCCCAGAATGCTGAAGAAGTTAATGGATGTTATAGCTGGACCCCTCCCAACAATTTACTGGGGGCTGCAGGAGTAGGAAAAGGTCCCTGCTGAGTGGGAGCTAGCCAGTCTTATATCAATCTACAAAAAGAGCATAAGAGAAGACCTAGAAAACATGTTAGTCTAGCCTCAGTACCTGGAAAAGTTATGGAGTAGTTTACCCTGGGTGCAACTGAAAGGCAATCATCAATGGCATGAAGTTTAGGAAAGAAAAACGCAGCCCTGCAGGAAGGTATGTCCATAGTCATAAGCCAGTTAGATTGGTATTAAATCAAGAGCTTGAAAGGTCAGTCACTTTAAAAATAAAGACAGATATATCAGTTCTCATGCTTGCTGTCTCTAAGTTATCCCTGACCACTTTCATATTTTCTGATGCAGTCGTGGGTTGGGTTAATAAAGGTGCTGCAGGAATCTGAAGTTACACCGGCATGGAAGGTCTAACTTTGCCACCCAGGCCTATTCTCTGATTAAAAATAAATAAAAGTAACATTATTAAAACAACAGAGGGGCATACATTATAGAACGTGGTCTACTGATAAATTTCAAGAAATGAGAGGAATGAGAGTCCCCAGAATACTAAAGTATTTCTGGTAGGACGCTGTTCTGAAATTAATGCTCATTAGTAACTTGATTAATGATTTGAGAGAAGATATTAAACCAGTGCTGATGAAGCTTTTAGGGGACACAAGGAAAAATGGAGGTAATAAATTATGGTAAATGATGGGATGCGCAGAGCAGTCTGTAACCACTGGTATGGTCTTTACTCATAAACAGTATTTCTGGCTGCACTGAAAACAGAAGGATGATGTGTATCTAGGCAAATAAATGTATGCCGTGCACTTTCAAGATGGAGGGCTTTCCTGGCAACTCTGGAGGGACCTTAGGAAGAATCACCTGGAGATAAAATGAACTCAAGCTCACTGGGCCTGCATGGCTTTGCTTGTTGGGAGCCAGGTTTCTGACAGCAGAGGGCTCTTTAACCCCGCATAAAACACGCAGCTTCCCGATGACGGAGCTGAAAACGAGCCTTTTGCTGCACACAGTCGTCGTTGGGACGTAATGGGACTCTCCGGCTGCTCCAAAACCGGGATGGGACGTCCCCAAACAGGATCCGGAAAGCAGGCACAGGAACGAGAGGAGTCAGCTCCCGAGGAGCCAAACTACGCGATTAAATTGTTCCCATCAGGCTTTTACAATCCATGAATCAGAAGGAGCGCAGGCTGGCAGGGTGCGAGACTGCAGGGGAGGGTGAGAAGGGGAGGGAGAAAACTGGTGACCTACCAGATGCTTCAGCGCAGGGAGGGCAAAAGACAGAGCTGCAGGAAACAGAGCTGTCTGTAGGCGCG